CCCTCTACTGGACAGAAATATGGTGGCCAAGTCCAGCTTGCCACATTACAAACCAAGCAGATCATGCAAAAATCCACTAACTAATCCGCTGACTGCTAGGCCAACAAAGCATTTAGCATTTTACTTTGGACCAGGGCAGAGAAAATGGTCCGAACTAGGCGGCTCCACCTCTGCGGCTGTGACCTGTTCTGCTCCACCCAAAGGCTATACCAGGGGTCCCCAATTCAATTGGCACAAGGCCTGTAGGGTCCAAACAGTGAAGCCGTGTAGTTGAAGCTCTCAAACCATAATCCATAGTGTATAAAGTGAGTGAATAAATCCATGGAACAGCGAAATGCAATTAAAAACTCTTTACAGAGTATCCACACACAAAAAAACACATACTGGACAAAAAGGAAAAAAGACATAAAAGACGAGAGAGTGGTCAAAAAACTGTGTGGCTCCACTCCACACTTTCCCCTGGCACACCTGCGCCTTAACTAGCCTGGGCCAGGACTGAGAAAAATAATAAAATATATATTAAATCAAAATGAATTGATTGATGATTAACTTTAGCAATAATGATTAACAAAATAGTTAACTAAATTATATGCAAAATATACCAAATTAAATCAATTGGCTAATACTCATAATTCTAATCTAATCACAAAAAAAATGTATTTCAATCAAAAAATACAAACAAGTAGAAATGTATCAAAATATAATCAAAACAACTAAACTTCTATTTTAGCTCCAACAAGGTCCACTTACTTGATGAGTTCAATAGGGTCCGGAAATCATACAAATATTTTTATTTCGAAGAAATCCATTCAAGCTATTTCTTTCATATGAAATGATTTGAAAACCTTAAACAACAACGACTAATAACGACTATAACTAAAAAATAAACATCTAAATATAGGTGTACATAATTCACACATACTGTAACATCAATCTACTTTGTTCATTTCTACACAACACACCCAGCCTGGCCTTAGCCATCTGTACACTCCGTTCAATCATCATTTCACTGCATTTAACGTCTGGGTCTAGTCCCTGTGTTAGCGATTACAATCGGTTGAATTTCGACCAACCAATCAGAGAGCACGGAAGGCAGGTGTTGTAGTTAGTTGTGGGTGATGTCAAGAGTTTGCGTTGAACAGGCAGGTCGAAGTTTGGGAATGGCGAATAATGCGATAGAACCAGACTGGATTACTTTACTATCAAGAAATTGAAGCCGGAGCAATAGGAATGAGTAGCAAATGTAATCGCTAGAATAAATTGTGGTGCTACTACCCACGAGCTCCATTAGCGGCAAAGGAGATGGCTAGGCTAAATGCTAAATGCTAACAACAGACTCATGCGCATTACATACGTCACGGTAAACTCAGATCCAATTGTTTCAATCTGCATAAGGAGTTAACCCCTCCCACCTGTAAACTGAGCTCAATTATCGATCTATTATAACTGGATAGGGTATTACTAGCTTAGAGCTGTCCCACCCATGGGCACAGGGGGCGCCCTAACCTTGCCTGCAAGCTGAATTCTCGCGGTATTTGTGAGTTCACAAACACTCGAGAATACATCTTGTACCGCTCCCACTTACACTTTTCGAGTCGAACCACTGGGTGTGCGAGCCAATCACGCGCCAGTCTGGGGGTTTAGGGCGGGATATCCGGGTTTGACAAAAGCAAGAAGTGCCGGGCCGAAGCAAAACAAACATGGCTACGCAGGAGGACGGACGCAAAGTCAGTTTTAGCAGAATCTCCAATTTCTTTTTTGAAAGATGAACAGCGAGAGGCGCTTTGTACATTTCTGGACGGCAACCTTGGTAGGCGGGCACACAGCGTCACTTCGCCCAATCAGCTTCAAGTATTCTGCTGCTTACCCCTCCTTTCCCCGAAAGGATTCTCCGGGAGAAATCCCAGATTGATATCGCGGAGAACGCGTTAGAGTTCTACACAATCATCAATCTGGCTTTTGCCAGGTTAGGGGCGCCCGTGGGACTACAGAAATTCACGAGGGCTACCCAGAAAAAAGTCCCATAGAACTCAATGTAAATTAAGGTTTCTCACCCATCATCTGTACTTCTTAGCAAGTTTTCCCGACGTTTCGTCCTCAATCCAGAGGACTTCTTCAGGGAATGAATTCTCAGACCGCGCGTTGGAGATTTATAACCTATGGGTGTGGTTAGCCACACCCTAATCCTGATACTAACTCACAAACAATCTAAGATCAGTTTGATGTAGAAGGGAGCAGTTCTACCGACCCTGCTGAGGCTAACGACCCTAACTCATTAGCATGTCACTGACCTTGTCCCAAGTTAGGGCGTTGTTTTTAGGATGTCGTCATAGATGTGAGGCAAAACAAATCTTAACCCTCCTCCTCTGTTAAGAGAAGGTTTGCTATTGTGGACTATACTCCATATCACAGTTTTGTACACAAAGATGTAACATGTGCCCATTAAAGCTGCACTAACTGACTTTATTTTCGTATTCATTACGAAAATGCTATCCATGTCCATGTAGTGCATTGGGATATACGTCCTTTTGAAGAATAATTAGCGCAGATTTGTGCTGGCGTGACATTATATTTTAGATCGAGTTTTGATGAAACAAGGAAGAGAATGTGTTTCGGGTCGCAGATTGTGACCAATCACAACGGACCACTGGCCCCCACTTTCGTGAGAAATCTACAGGTCCGTTAGCATAGACGGCTGAGTTAGCACAACAAGCCGAGGAGCTAACCTGAAGCTTCGTGTCTTCATCACCGGTTACTGCTTACACAGCGAAACAGCCATCCAAAAGAAAGTCCCGTTCCTCCGCGCTTCCCGGTTCTATCGTTTTATGGTCACGCCATCCACGTGCAAATCCATATTCATGTATTATCCATATTGGGAGACACTAGCTCCGTCCCAACAGTGAGTGTGTGTGGGGGGCGATAGCTTCGTGGGTGCGGGGAGGGGAGCAGAAAGAGAGAGGCCAGCGAGTCCGCGGCTTCAAAATCCCAAAGTCAGTTAGTGCAGCTTTAAATATGGGCATGAGGTTGGCCAATAATGTTGTATTGTGTCAGTGTCACAGGTAACCCATCTGTGGTTCCTCTGATGCAGGAGGGTCTGAGGACAGTGATGTGGGACATTTAAGGACATTAACATTTCTTGAAAGTGGTCGTCCTGCTCTTTATATGGCTCTGTGTGTTTGTTATTATTGCATTTCCTGTGTTCGACTTGTATGATTCTCTGATCTGTTGTTGGTAAATCGACAACTTTGTTAAATCCTCCTGACCTAGACAACTGCTGCTGTGGTTTTGGACGATGCACAAGTACATTGAAGTGAAACTACATTGAATTCAATTGAATAAAATATTTTTCTTATTTTAAGATATCTTGTTTTCTTATTTTTTCTTGAATTAAGAAAGAGGAGCCTAAATAAGTATTTGTTGCTTGTTTTAGATCCCAACTTTTTAAAGCACATTTTTCTTAATAAGAAAAAGCTAGAAATTATTTCTAAAAATAAGAATTTTATTCTCAAGGAAATTTTGCTAGACAAGATCATTTTTCTTTTTATCTAAAAAATTATTTCAAGATTTTTTTTACCTGCTTAGAATTTGCTTTTTGCAGTGCGGACCTGGATACACAGTGCATGCTGCAGCCCACCCCCCATCCGTCCGTGGCGCCCTTGATGTAAGTAGCTTTATTCCACTTGTACCCCCCTTTTTAGAGGGAGTAGATTCAGATTTTCCTGCATTTGAGCGCATCACCTCGGAATCAAATTGGCCGCGCGATATTGGGCCTGTTGGTATGGGAAAGCCCAAGAAATAATTGCAGCTATGCCTCTTGTTGACAGTCTGCCGCATGAAACAGTCAAGAGCGCTATACTAAGGGCATTTTAGCTGGTTCCTGAGGCCTACAGGCAAAGGTTCCGAAGCCATAAAAGGGCCTAGATCCAGGCTTACATTGAGTTTGTTAGGGAGAAAGGGATGTTTTCTGAGTGTTCTTCTGCTAAAGCCCAGAATTTTGCTTCCTTACGTAAGCTTATTATACACGTTGTGGTGTACCTAAATAAGCAGAAAGTTAAGAATATTTCTGATGCTGCTGTCTTAGCCGACAAATTTGTACTGACTCACAAACACATTTTTGGAGGTGTGTCAGGCGGCCCTGTGCGCACCAGTGCCTAGCCCTAATTCTAGGGCTAGGTACAACATAGACCAAGCCCTCCTAAACCCAAAGGTGTTGGACTAATTAAAACTGAGGTCAGCTTAGCACCAAGCACCTGCTGAAAGCCAGATCCATGCTTTGAACTATTCATTTTTGAGGGCTTAGTTTCCATAACTGGTGACTTGACCCATCCGCATCTTGAAAGACACTGGCGAGTATCAGACATTAATCATAGCCAATGTTATCCCATATACAGATCAGTCTTCTTGCGTGCACTAAACTGTATTACGGGGAATAGAATGGGGCTACTGCCAGTAAAATTGATGCACATCGAGTCTAAACTTGTGTAGGGGACCCATCGGGCCCTCTTCCCACCCCACACCCACAGGCGCCACACCTTTACTCTAAATTGGAATAAAAAAAGCAAAAAAGTCACTTGGCACTGTGTCAGATGGTTTGAAGATCAAAGGTTGTCACTCATTGAGACGCACTCTCAAAGAGATAAGTCAGGCCCACGGACCAGAGGTGCCATCCCAGCTGCAAGCAACGGACATACACAGCCAATATAGAGCTAAACGCGAGAAGTATACAAAGACAATGAAAAAAAAACATTCTATGTGGGCTTATGATTTGTCTGTGACTAAATATGCCTGTCAGGAAGCATCTGATGTCTGTATTATCTGTACTGTCTGTATTGTTATTATGCCTCCTCAGCTTAACTCCGGGCTGAAAGTTGTGTCATGGAGTTACACGCCGGCCAAGGTCCCAGAGAGGGCCACTTAAAAGTAGCCACAAGCCAGAAACTCGAAACTTCTTTCCGATCTTTCCTTCTCTTCCTGATCCTTCTCTCACATGTAAGCCGGTCTTACGTGTGGCTCACTGCGGGCCTCTCTTCTCTCATCTCCGAAGCTCCAAGCTCGCTCAGATCCAGACGTAGGTACCGGCTTCCTAAACAGAGCATCTCGGGACCAAGGACTTTCCCTTTCTGCGCTGGACATTCGGACGCAAACACTTTTTCTTCAACAAAGACCACGTGCTCCTTCGCCGCGATCCCACTCAAGTCAAGCATAGTAAGGAGCTGGTTAATGTGTTTGTGTTTGTTGTGTGTAACTTGGTGTAACACTCCATACTGAAATCATGATCCAAACCTACGGGGCAATTGTAACAATCGCTACGTAACATACAGTATGTTTACATGTCCTGTTTTAAAGTGTTCCGTTTGCTCAATAAACCACAGAACCAAAGTCCGCTATCAGCCTCTAAGATAATACTTTTATAGTTTATGGTGGTTTTGAACTACGCCTACAGATTATGAGACTGAACAAAACGTGCATTTTATTTAGATCTTAACGCCTTTTTGGCTGGTGCCCTCATTTCAAGGTAAAACTCCTTCATCTTGACCAGGTCTAATTCAAATGAAACCTTAGAATAACGCATACACCTGTGAGAGCAGACATAAGGTTATTCTACTCAATTAAGGTATCTTAGTATAGTATAATTCTCCCACTTCTTACAGGGACATTTCCAGTTGCTGTTCACAATGCGTTACCAATTACAGGGGTCCACATGTTGATGGGAAATAGTTGACTGTGGGGTCCTCTGCCCCGCTACGCGCCTCCAAGAGGCCATCCCACTGCATAAAATCACCTCGCAATTGATAGTCAAAGCGTTACTTAAACTCTTCTCAGTCTTTGGCCTCCCAAAGATCTTACAGACAGACCAGGGAGTGAATTTCAAATACAACCTGTTTGAACAAGTGGTTCAGCCACTGGTAAAACATGTTCTCTCTAGCTCGTATCATCCCGGGTCACAAGGTGCTCTGGGATGACCCTTAAATCTATGCTTTGTAAGTATTGCCTAGAAACTGGGAAAGATTGGGATCATGGGATCCCGTTTGTACTGCAGCCCGTGATGCGACTCAAGAGTCTGTGGGTTTCAGCCCAGCTGAATTAATATTTGATAAGAGGACTTTGGCTCGCTCTTTCAAAGCGAGAGATAAAGAGCTCATTTTGATGACCGTGAAGGGGCATACTCTCTCAGCTAAATATACAGGTCCTTATGTAGTATGTAGAAACTTTCTGATGCTGATTATGTGATTAGCACGCCTGACAAGAGGCAAAAATCCTGTGTGTGTCATATTAAAATGTTCAAGCTGTACATGCCCACGTCACTCCACTATGTCCCCCCTCCAGTGCGTCTCTGCGCTGATTGTGGCTGACCAGGCTGCTGATGAGGATGGATTGCAGATGCGTAAAGAGCATAGTCCGCGTCTCCCAAACTCTGAGATGCTTATAATCTTGTCTGCCCAACTGAAGCATTTGAGCACTTACGTTCTGGCTTTAGTTGGAGATTTCCAATGTTTGTTTGCGGACGTATCCAGTTGCTCTAATGTATTGGAACATGACATTTATGTGAAGGACGTGTGTCCCATTCGCCAGCACCCATATCGTGTGAACCCCACAAAATGTGCGCTGATTAAGCCGGAGGCTGAGTATCTGTTGGCCGATGGTCTGGCTAAATATAGCATCAGTGCTTGGAGTTCTCCCTGTTTACGGGAGGAAAAAACTGATGGCTCGCCTCGCTTCATCACAGATTTCCGCAAAGTTATTGCTGTCACTGTCCCTGATTCATATTCTATGCCCAACATGGAGGATTGTGTGGACAACTTTAGACCTGCCAAATACGTGACAAAATTATATTTATTGAAGGGTTATTGGCAAGTCCTGTTGGCAAGTCCCGTTGACTGACCGTTGACTATTTGCGTTTGTTACCCCAGATTATTTCCTGTAATACACCGTGATGGCATTTGGAATGTGCAACGCTCCCACTAAATTTCAACGATACTGTCCCACAGGACCTGCCTAGTTGTAATGCCTATCTGAATGTTTTACTGATCCATTCCATTACATAGGAACACGTAAGCATCCTGCAGCAGGTTTTCCCGGTTGGCAGCTGCCTCACTCACCCTAAACCTCACTAAATCTGAGTTCGGGAAGGCTTAAGTCGCATATTGGGGATGTGAGGTTGGCCAGGGCCAGGTAGGTCTAATTGAGGCTAAAGTTTCCACAATGGCTGCCTATCCGCAACCAACCACTTGGCGTGAGCTGTGCCGCCTCCTGGGCATGGCAGGATATTACAGAAATTTCTCATCAGTGGTTGTCCCGCTGACTGCCTTATTCAGTCCGAAGGTCAAGTTAAATGGACTACTGAATGTCAGTCCGCGCTTGACAGTGTGAAGTCTCTGCTGTGTCATTGACACTGTCCTCGCTGCTCCTGACCCTTCACGCCCCTACAAGCTTCAAGTGGCCGTTAGTGAAGTGGGAGCAGGTGCAGTCCTGCAGTCCAGATGCAGGAGAATGCAAGTGGTGTAAACCATCCGGTATGTTACTTCTCCGCTTGTTTAATACACATCAGATCCGCTACGCCACTACTTTGCCACTGTTGCTCGCTCTCCAGCAGTCTTTGAAGTGTATCTTGGGTCTAGTTCTGTGCCAATCGTTGTGTTTACCAACCATAACCCTGTAACTTTTCTGTCCCGCATGTATAACCACAACCAGAGACTGATGTGGTGGGCCTTGATGGTGCAGTGTGACTGCATTATCTGTTAATGTCCTGATCTTGTGTTTGTCCAGAAGTGGTACTGTGGACAGTATCTTAAGGGGTGCGGTGTTACGGCTCCAGGTCTGGGCCGTTTGCGCAAGCATCCCCTTCCTCTCCCTGTGCGTCTCTCCTGTCTGTCTTGTTCCAGCCAGAACCTGGGCCCGCCTCCCGGACACTGCCATTCGCCCGGAACCCAATGGGTGGCCAATGGATGCTCCGGCTGAATCAATCTGCGCCTTGCTATGGTCAAATTTAGAATGATCCGAGGCAAACAAGTGTCTTTGTGGTTTAATATAGTAATGAAATATATCCATGATAATTGCATATAGTGAATCCAAGTCGTGGAGAGGAGCTCAGCCAGACCTCCGAGCAGGCCTGCTAAACTCTTCTGCCTAGAACAATGCCCGAGTCTACAGTTTTTCCCAGACTCGGAAGAGTGGAAGTTGAGTATTTCTACCATTTCTTATGTTTTTATTATAATTAATAGTAATTTTCCACTACAGCCACCAGCTGACCTGCCCGCAGCCAATAAAAACAGCGGCGCGACGTCCGGACACGGCAGCTTGTTTTCAGTACAAGTGTGCCACTCTTGGGAGACAGACGTATTTTAGTAGAGCTGACTGTATTGAGACCTTGGCTGTGTCCAAAACGCTAGGCATCGGGCCGCGTAGGGTGGATATGTCGGCTCGTGACGTCACTTCCTCAAGCGACGGCTATTGCAGGGGTGTCCAAAACCACTTGGCGAGCTCGCCAGCGTAGGCATCGTGACTTTGTCTCTATGGAAACGGCCACTTTTGGAGCAGATATGAAGGATGCCTCTGATGTATGCTTCGTTGCCTTCTTTTTGCCGAGTCACGGCCGCGCATGCGCAGAACTGCGCAGAAATTTCTGTATTTTATTTTTAACCAGTTTTTTGCAAAGCCCCAAATAAATAGTATTCATTGAATATGAAGTGTAAAAAGAATCCTAAATGTGGGCTGTGTTTTAATGCATGATGTTTGTGTTCTTCTTTTTCAGAGACTTGTGGTGAAATTAAGGTCATAATTTCTCCAGCTTCACCTCCTGCTTCACCTCCATCACGTCCTGCTTCACCTTCATCACCTCCTGCTTCACCTCCATCACCTCCTGCTTCACTGCTGAAAACATTATGAACTACAACAAACTTGTATATAATATTTTCCTTTAATCACCAGTCATGGATAGTTAGAACAGTGGGCTCTTTATCTCTGAAGACATGTAGCAGAAGGAGCAACAGGAGGAGTAACAGCAGCAGCAGAAGGAGCAACAGGAGGGGTAACAGCAGCAGCAGAAGGAGCAACAGGAGGAGTAACAGCAGCAGCAGAAGGAGCAACAGGAGTAACAGCAGCAGCAGCAGTAGCAACAGCAGCAGGAGCAACAGCAGCAGGAGCAACAGCAGCAGGAGCAACAGCAGCAGGAGCAGCAGCAGCAGGAGCAACAGCAGCAGGAGCAGCAGCAGAGTCCTGGGAGTCTGCCTCTGACACAGGTCTCATCGACAGCACTTCACAGAGAACCTGGAAATAAAGAAAACAAAAATCAAACTTGTTGGTTTTATTATGATTTTGTTGTTTGTGTGAAATGTAAAGAGTCATCAAAGTGAGGTATTATTTACACAACTACATATTTGTCAGCAGTACTTATACTTATACTTATAATTGAATACATTAAACTCAAATATGATTAGTAACGGTCTGTTAGCTTTTCAAGAGATATAAAAGTGAATAAGAGCAGTGTCAAACATCTGTGTTCAACTCCATTTTACAGATGTCTGTTAATGTTTCCATGGATGTGTCAGTTATTATTATAGATCCATGGATGTTCCAGTTATTATTATTATTATTATAGATAAATGGATGTTCCAGTTATTATTATAGATAAATGGATGTGTCAGTTATTATTATAGATAAATGGATGTTTCTCTCTCATCAGCAAACACACGTTAATACATTTAGGTCTGATAAAATTACTTTTAAGTGATGCACAAACAAGGGCCATAGCAAATTTATAATCCATATCTAATAATCATTTATTGCATATCAATCAATCAATCAATCAATCAATCTTTATTTATAGGGCGCTTTTCCTGCACAGGGCAACACAAAGCGCCTCACAGTCCACACCACACAATGCACAAATCATCACCATTAAAATACAATTAAAAACACATATGTAATTAAAAAGCATTAAAATCACATAAGTAATTTAAAAACATAAAAATCACACAAGTAATTAAAAACAATAAAATAGTTAAAAACACAAAAAGTTACAACAATAAATAACAAGGTGTGTTAAAAAGATAAAATTCTCTAGTTGTATGCACGGGAAAAAAGAAAAGTCTTTAACATGGATTTGAACATTGACAGAGAGGCAGCCAGTCTCACATCCTCAGGAAGACCGTTCCAGACTCCAGCTGCATAAATCTGAAAAGCAGCCTCCCCCTGTCTAGTCCTGACTCTGGGCACTAACAGGAGTCCCGTCCCTGCGCTCCTCAGAGTCCGGGCTGGTTCATATGGGACTAGCATATCATGGATGTACTTTGGTGCAAGGCCATGGAGAGACTTGTACACCAGGAGAGCTGCTTTAAAGTCTATCCTCTGGGCCACGGGAAGCCAGTGCAGAGACCTGAGGACCGGACTAATGTGGTCGTACTTCCTGGTTCTAGTCAGGACTCGGGCTGCAGCATTTTGAATATACTGCAACTGTCTTACTGCATGTTTGGAGATACCTGTGAGCAGGCCATTGCAGTAATCCAGCCTACTGGAAACAAAAGAATGGATAAGAATCTCCAAGTCTGCCCTGGACACAATATTTTTAATTTTGGCAATATTTTTCAGATGATAAAAAGCTGCTGATGTTACCGATCCAATGTGGCTATTGAAGTTTAAGTCAGAGTCCATTATTACTCCCAGATTTCTGACCTTATTTAAGGGCCTTAGGGAGAGAGACTGAAGGTGACAAATGACGGTCTCTCTTTGTTTCTCGGGACCAAAGACAATCATTTCGGTTTTGTCCGCATTTAGCTGGAGAAAATTGCATTGCATCCACTCACTGATCCGCTGGATACAGCGAAGGAGTGAGTCCACCGGCCCATGCTCTCCTGCAGTCAGTGAGACATAGATCTGAGTGTCATCAGCGTAATTGTGGTAGGACACTTTCATACTTTGAATTAACTGACCTAATGGCAGCATGTAAATATTGAACAGGAGAGGTCCCAGAATCGACCCCTGTGGCACTCCGCAGGTCAGGGCCATATTATCTGAGACATAGTTTCCAATCTCCACACAGTACTTCCTTTCTTCTAGATAGGACCTAAACCAGCTTAGGGCGGTACCAGCAACACCAACCCAGTCCTCCAGTCTCTGCATGAGAATCTCATGGTCAACGGTGTCGAAAGCGGCACTCAGATCTAACATGACTAAAACAGAGACTTTTCCTGCATCAGTGTTAAGCCGAATATCATTTGTTACCTTGACTAGAGCGGTCTCAGTACTGTGGTGTGGTCTAAAGCCAGACTGAAACATGTCAAATGAGTCATTAGATATTAAAAATTCAGTAAGTTGTTGGTAGGCAACTTTTTCAAGAATTTTTCCCATGAAAGGCAGATTTGAGATGGGACGGTAATTTTCAAGTACCGCAGCATCCA